CTTTTTTAAAATAACACAACAAAATGTGCCGATAATAAATGATATTTTCTTCCATATTTATAGTGCAATAGCAAACACAATACTAAGCTAGTTTCATCAAGAGTTAACAGATATAGTTGTTGACAAATCACAAACATGATAAACAATCCATCTTAGGGATTGATTCATCAGATAAGCAGTGTATCCTAGTGACATTCAAATAAATAGAAACACCGAAAGGACTTAATTGCCAACCCAATTCTTAGTTTTTATCTCATACTACTCCATTAAATTTCTTTGTTAATTATTTTTTTTTATTCCTTTTGTTACTTTATTTCATTGATTATTTTTATTTCATTAATCCCGATCCTAGTTTATTTAAACCAGCTTATTTCATAAGTTTCTTTATGTTACCGTCATTAGTCCCCAACTTTGTTCCTCTCCAATAATGTTATTATTTATTTCATAAGTTTCTCTCCGTTACTGTTATTAATTGTTTAACATATGTTCCTTAAATTATTATTAATAATATTAGCATATATATATATATATATATATATATATATAATATTTTCATTAATTAATAGTTTGTCATATTGTTATCTGGTCTATTCTTAGCCCTTGTGAAGGCCTGAACTTTGGGCCGAAACGTCGGAAAATATAAAAACAAATATAATTTAAGTATTTTTATTTATTTTTGATATTATTGTAGATAAAATAAATATATTTTATTACTTCAATGACAAGAAAAACAAAAACTATTTCGAACCTCCCGGAACATTCTTCAACATCGGAAGACAGTTAGTACCTTTGCATCATTTATTCAAAGTAAACAAAATTTATTATGAGAATATACTCTGAACTTTTACGAGTGTTTCAAGGAAAAACAAATACTATTCTTACAGTTCTGAAGAATAAAATTTAATTTTTAAATTTTTTTTAGACCTGCCTTATATTTCTTTTTTTGAAAGTGTCTTACACGTTTTCGATTACATTTCCTGGTAAATTATTAGATTGCGTTTGTTCCCATCGAATATTTCTGTTGATGTTCCAAGAATTGTTGGCATGGAAATAACCGAGAAAGGGGCTCAGGTATTTTCCTTGTATAATTCCGACATTGTTATCTTTACTTTTGGGAAAATCCTCATTTCTAACCACAACCCGAACTACCCTCCAAAATAAAAAAAAAGGTTTGTAAGAAAATTTAGTATGAATAATTTTTAACAATAATGTGCATTTACTAAAACTTGTAACTTAGCTGAATTAGTGTGTTCTTGATGAATATACAGATTGTTGCAGTAAATGTAAGTTTTTATAAATTTGATGGCCAATCCATCAACTCATTCATCATTCAATACAAAACGATAATTTCGATGGTTTTTTTTTTTTTTCGTGCCTTTAAAACTAACTAAATTTGCTTATCGGTTTATAAAATCGAATTGATCATTTATATTATTTTTATTTTATATATACCTGACTTTTATTATTACTTATTTTGACAATACACTGACTGGCTAACGATGATTTGAGAGACTAAATAAGGCTTTTATCTTGGAAACTTCCAAAAATAATTATTTGAAATGTTTCTCTCTAATTACTGTTTACTCCATTTAGACGCAGTAATGTCTAAAAAAAATCGCCTGTAACATATAATCCAGCATGCTGTATAAATTAACACTTATATACCACAATATTGCATACTAATAATCTCATAAATATACAATGATCTTAACCTATCTATTTACAGATTTTTAAATATAAATAAACAATTCCAAATCTTTCTAATTTACTGTATATATACAACAGAGGGACAATGCATTCAACATGATAAATGACCATGCCGAAAAAAATACAAAACGTGCACATAAATATTTTGACGTGCACAAAACATCAAAATGTACAAAGAGGAACAAAAATCCAGTTGCCACGATGCAAACATATGTAATTATTAATAAAAATGACACACTCCACTTTTTTTTTATTATCAGCCTCAATTTCTAACACCGTGCATATTAAGTACCACAATCACGTGCTCGGCATTGAACATGACAGTTGAAAATAAAATAATAATGATGAATAGAGTAAAACTAAAAAAAAAATTTAAAAAAAGAATGAATAATGTGAATGGTTAGTTAAAACTATAAAAATAAATAATGATGAAAATGGTCGAACCGGTGAATGTGACTCAGAAAAATAAAATTTCAAATAGAAAAGGGATTGAAAAATAAATTTTATAAAACAAGAAGAGAGACATATATAATTATAAAATTAAAATAACAGCTGAGAAAAAATATTAAGAAAATAATTTCGAACTGTCCTTACCGGTGCTAGGGAATCTTTTCGAGCTAAGGCTACCTGGCTCGAGACATAGGCAGGCCCTATGAGGAGTGCTTTAACACCTTCTAAAGGGCATAGCTGAAACAACATAACTATTTCAGCCCTAAGGCACAGCTACCTCTCCAATTGTTTAGCCTAGCATAGTTTCAGTTTCTTGCTGTTATCCTGTTCATTGAGTGTGCTCCCGCCGGTAGAGAGTAATGAAGGAGTGACTTGATATCGGCGTGATAACATCAAAGTACTTTGTAAAAAGAGGTAAAAAAAAAAAAAAAAATGCAAAAGAAAAATTAAATACAAACTGAATAGTGTAACACTTACTTGGCTCTATTATCAATTTAAATGGTGCCCATTTATGAGTGCTATTTAATGACTACTGTCAAGAAATTTGATTATTAAATACTGAAATGGTAGTATTTTATAAATTAGAATAAAAACCGCCAAAACATATTCCTAAATAAAAATGAATACAAAGAACCTTAATATAATTAACTTATATACATTGAAATTCATCAATTCGTCCTCAGGAAGCTTGAATTTGATTTACTATGTAAGGGTATTCCAAAGACACAAATCTGTTTCAAGATAGACCCTCCAGTACATCTTAGCTGACGATGGATAACTACTAGTTCATAGTAAATCTGTTGATTTTATTATATGGAATCCCCAAAGACCATTGACAATTTTCAATTTTTCAGTATTACAAAAATAGAGCAAACGTCATGTATTTGTGGGGATTGAGAGGGTGTTCTACAAATATAAAATTAAAATTAGGGATGGCCGAAATCTGGTTTTAGACCTTCGAAAATACCTAGATAAAGGCCCAAAGTGGGCTGACCACATTAAGTGTCATAAACAAGAATGTTTTCAAAATAATTGGACTCTTAAAGCATCTTTCACATTTAAATTGAGGAGCTGATAGAAGCAGTTTAGCAGCAGGCGCTAATAGAATATCGCTAGTTGCAAACATGATGCATTATGCGCTGGACTATCCTTTAAACCAAGAGATCATACATGATAACAAAATTATATCAATTCCACAACAGCCCTTAAAAGATAACATATTTCATATTTTTTTTATCCTACGCCTAAGTAACGCCTGCTTCATTAGCTATGCGTGATTTTACAGTCCAATACAGTTTTGCTCTCCGAGCATAAGGGCTGTCCATTTCATTAAAGGAACATCTTATGTCCTGTAATGCAGGGCATGTATCAAGATGTCAAGATGTTCTCCTATCTTTTATCCGATCTTTTACACCGATGTATCCACTAGAAAGCGACTTCTGTCCCATTTTCCTTTAATCGGTTCAAATATTGATGGCATTTAGGAACACTTGGATTTATATTATATCCATTTTGGAGAGACTAAATGGCTGCCTGTGAGTCAACAAAGAAAGCAACTTTCTTGTCTTTCGTTCAATTAATCTCTCAAGGCCTAAGAGAATGGCTTTCACTTCCCCTTCAAAGTTTGTGGCTACCTTTCCGACCGGGATGGCAAGTTGAATAAACTCCAGCTCCGGCGTGTTTGCGTGCTTCCAGTGCAGAACCATCAGTATGTACATGGAGTCCATATACATGGAACCATCTGTCTCTGGGAATCGTTTTCCGATGGTTTCTAGGGTTATAGCCATTTCATTTGTTCGTAAATTGATGTATCCTTAGAAACATTCTGAAGAAGATCACAGTGAACAACAAATTGGCTGGTGAATGGAACTTGTGTCAATGACGGGAGAGGCTCCCTTTCAGCTAATTCTAGTCCGTTTCTTTGTATCAAATCTTCCACTGCCTTAATAAAAGTAATTTGAGTTTTATGGCGTTCAGGTGCGGGTTCATAGGTGCTCCAGTAGTTGATCTTAAGACTTTTTAGCCTTTCATAGAGCGTAATGGCCAGTTGCTCCCGGTGTGTCTCAAGAGGTAATTTGCCTGTTTGTAATTCTAGCGCAGATATTGGGGTTGATCTGCTTCCTCCTGTCACGAGTCTAAGCGCTTGATTCTGGATTATGTCAAGCTTGTGCAATATCGCAATTTCATATGGAATCATTCATAAATAACAGCTTTAGATAAAAAGTATTGTTAACAGTTTCAACGACAAGCATGAACCTTAATTGCTTTGATAAAAATTGCCAGATAACTATTTCCAAAGTTTAAGTCTCCCTGAAATAACTATTGATAATGCCATGGGTCTTTTCTCCAACAAAAGTTAGATATATCAAAAGAATTTAGAAAATGTTTTGGAGGTTTATTGACATATTTTATACATTTTCTTGATATAGAAGAATAAAAATAATTAGCTTAAAATCAAATCTCATGACAGTAGAAATGGTTTCATCAAAGGTTCTTCTCGTAACACATATTTCTACTTAAACAAAATATACATTTAATAAACAGGGTAGAGAGAAAAGTCGGAATTTGTTTTTTTTTTTCCGAAATCTCAAGATGTTAAGTATGAAGGAAGTACAGGTGTGCAAGAACATGGAATAATAAAATATAGCCAATAATTTGTTTCCTTGCTTTTGAACTTTTTCAAAAAAACAAAATGTCAAAACTAAAAAACATCTAGATTGTAAAAAGATAAAAATTAAAAAAACAAAATGTTGACTAAACTGTTACGAATCTAGGTGCGACACGTTTGACACCTAGTGACAGAATAAATGATGGCATCTATATTGCTACAATAATATTGCTACCTGGCTTACACTGCTGCTCGCTCTTCGTGATCCGGTGCTGTCCTGCTGCGTGTAGTTCCGGTGCGTGTTCCTATAGGGCGAAGGGCTTCTGTTACAGACGGTTCTTCCTGCAACAGTGAGGTGTGCAGAGATTTTAGGCCAATAAGAAAGCGAGGAAAAAGGTTTAAATACAAATTTATCTAATATGTGGGTGCATAGGCATAGAATTTGGAGGGCAAAAATTTCGTTCCGCTCAGTAAACAAAATTATAATAAATAATTTACATCAATGAATAAAATAGTTGCTAGGGTTATACAACTATTTTATTTATACCTAAATGCAATCTTTATTTAAATTGTCATTTATTTTCGCAGACATAATATACATCAACATATTCTTTGATTTTATGATCTAATCACCCCTCAATTTTCACGTGATATTCTTATGAAATTTTCTGCGACAAACTAGTCGGACTGTAAAAAACGTTGTTTCCATACATACTATTTCTAAAACCAGTTTTTTTCTTCTTTTCTTTTTTTTCGCATCGCCATAACTTCGTCAATTCTTCATCAAATCCAATGATTGAGCCCTCATTTTAAAGATATTCTTCTCCTTCAGGTAGGAAAAATAGTCATATCCGCCCGAAATTTTAAGGAAAAAAGTTATCAAGGAAAAGAATCTTTATTTGCTAATAACTCAGAAAGTGTATTTTTATTACATTTTTTATTTCTAACCATGATTTTTAGATTAGAAAATCAACTAAATTACCTATATAACAAAAAAAAAAACCATAAAATTCCGACGATTATTAACAAAAATACTGCCGATTTTATATTATAGTTGGTATACATAATAACTTCTGTCTCTTAAAGGATTTCATAATTTATTATTTCCTATAGTACATATACCCAATTGTTATTTGCACAAATATTTTGTTATGAAGGTTGTACACTTAACTTAAACTTTCAACTTTCCTGCCAAAAAAAACCAGACCATTGTTTACATTCACTTATCTGTATCTCTTGGGATCTACTATCAACCCTTTAAATATTTCTCTCTAGTTAAGGTATACCAAAATATTGCCCAAGATATCAGTGACAGAACATTTTTATCTATACAATTAATAATAAGACAATTTTTTTTTTCTTCAGAGGATGCCTAAATGAAGTGAATAATAAGTGAAATCATTGTTTTTAATTATATTATTTAATAGTCTTAATAACTATAAAAATTTCTTATATCCGCTTTTCGCAAGACTAACATCTTTGAAGCTAAATTTCGCTAAATAGGATATATTCGCTCTCCATGATTTATCTACCTCTTTGGGACAAAGGGATATTAGCCCTAATCGATTTGAGAAAGTTTAATTCCAGGATTAGTTATCAGAAGCGAACTTGGAATGTGTCTGGTCCTGAAACTTGGTTGTTGATGATGGTAAGTAGAGAACTATCATTACCATAGGTGATGTGTTTGATTTAATCATCAAGCAACTGATCAGTTACCTTATTGATTAGGTGTGACACGGTTTATTGCTATTAAATTTATTATTATAATTTAGCAAATAGGAAACATCGACTGGATGGCTAAGCTATTGCATAGAAGTAAGTGCGCAAGTATTTTACTATCCCCTATATATTTTTTTCTCTTCATATTTTTATACACACCTGTCATAATCTTGACAGTAAGCTGATGAGATGTCATAATATAGAAAATTGGAATTTTAGACATGAGGAAGAATAGTACCCAGCAGCACCTTTTCCTGGTTTCGATTTACATCCTTAATCCAGGAAAGAAGATCTTTCGTCCAGCTCCTCTTTAGTCGTCTCCTGACGGACATTTCAGCTGCGGCCATGCCGTTGATAAGTCCGTGTAGTTTAAGATTAAATTGGGAGTAGAGAGTACGTATGTTTTTATTTTTGAAATTTTAGTTTATATCCAAATATAATTATATTGTTTTGTTTATATTGTAAATTAATATTGTAAACTTAATATTATATCAATTATTAGTAATTATGTTAACTTTTATACAAAATATAAATGTATTGATTAATTATTATTTTTTGCCTATGGAAATTTTGGAGGGGTTTCAGCCCCTAATGAATCCCTCTCTGTGTATACGCCGGTGACTGGTTGTAATAAATGACAATAGGTCTATGATCGGATAAAATCAAAACTAGTTTTCGAGCAAAACCAATTTGCATATCAAACCTAACTAACTGCGATCTCGAACCGATTCCTCTCATAGCTATGACATAAAACATCATTCCGAATTCAGAATCAACACCTATAACTAGATTAATATTCACATGCCATCGTCATTTCGTTATTGCGTCAATAATAAAGAATAACACGGAATGTACCTTACGTAAAAATCATATTAAGAATCGCCTGTCACTGTAATGAGAAAACCTTTTTATTTAAAAATTGTAAAAATGTATTAAATACAGTAAATTTCTTCATTTCGATGACTTAAAAGGCAGTATACTTTGTCCTAACAAATGGTTCTAATTATTTCATGATACAGAAATATCTTCAGATTCTTGAGAATTTGGGAAAATCTGTGCTTTATATGGGTTCCCAGTCACGTGGAAATAGTTGGTAATCAGCTCTTGCAGATACGGCCCTCAAACGTCCTGACCTCTCCAGAAATGAGATATCTTCTCATAAAATAAATATCGGATGGTTGGCAATCCATTTGGCAAATTAAAAGTTGTTAACAAATCAGTGAAGCCATGGACCACATCAAACCGTACTAATCGCAGAGAGAAGGTCGCCGTGACTAGGTTAAGTGTAGGACATACAGATTTAACTCATTTACATCTCATCATTAAACAGCCACTACCAAATTGTCAACACTTCAATAGCCCGCTCACTATCAATCATATGCCCTTATTAGACCTCAAGCATACATAGATTATCTATATGAGCGGATACATCAATAGCATTAAACAATAACGAATCAAACATAAAAAAGGTAATAAATTATCTTAAAACCCATACGGTATTAAATATGACTAGTTTGCCCGTGCGAATAATTCGCAGGTAATTTTCTTTAGTGAAGAAATAACAAAAATGTATGCAAATAAGTAGATCCTGTGTATTATATAAGAAAGAAATTAATATTTTTTTCCTTGGCCGATTTTAATATTACATTTAACATATACCAAAATATTTGTACCAAATTCCTTTGCCAGTGCCCTGTTTTTAAACGCTGACTGGAAAGATAATGAAGGTAATAAAGACAAAATAAATCTTCGATCATGGGATTTTCTATACCATTAAAAAAAATAAAATGTGAGAACAAACAAATGCCTTTAAGAAATAATAAAGTTAATATATCAACCAGGAAAAAAAAGTGTAGTAGAATAGTAACTGCAATATCTTTAAAGAGGAAGAAATGATTAAGTATACCTAAACTGTTGGACTGTATCTTTGCTAATATTTTTTTTTTGTTTTGTAGGTAATTTAAAAATCTTTCTAATCTTGGGTAAAATCTAGGAAAAAAATCGTACTTTTTGAGTTATTCGCAAATAAAGTTTCTTTTCCTTCAATATGTTTTTCCAGAAATTTCGGGGGGATAGAATTGTTTTTCGCATGTGAAGGAGAAGAATATCTTCAAAATGAGTGGTAAATCATTGGATTTGATGAAGTTATGGCGTACCGACAAAAGAACACCTTTTAGAAATAATATATAGGATATTATTTTTTTCTTATTATTGAAATTTACAACTGTTTAAACGATATATACATCAAGTAAATTTGAAACGAGTAACATGACATGCACAACATGAAGAGAAACTACCCATTGGTAGCACTCCAATTATATTTATATATTAGAAGGTCCCGAGGCCATATTTTTTTCAGACGCCTCGGAGGGTTATCAGGGATAGAAGAGGAAATAAGGAAACAAGAGGGTTCGGATGGTTCAGAAGTATATAGGATATAAAAATAAATATATTTTTTTGCGTATGGCACTCAATGTTCTTATATATGGTGTCTTCAAGGAATATATAAGCCCTTATAGTTTCAACAATTTTTTTATTTAATTTCCGACGACGATTTGAGTTGATTAGCTCATTATCAAGTTATCTACAAATAACAATTAACAAAGATAATTTACAACTCTGGTCGCTCACTATTTAGTCATATAACGAGTGAGAACTTACCTAAACATCTTTTTATATACTTTAATGTGTTTCAATTTATAATTTCATGAGTTACTGTTTGTAGTACACCGATAAATACATTCCTCATCAGCAACTCCCTTAAATTTTTGCACAATAATTAATCTGCCTTTTATTTTATATTATTCAGGGATCACAGTGTAACTTTCAACATCGCCAGGAAATTTAAATATATTAAACAAATAGAGTTTAACCTAACAAGCTATGATGAATGTGTGAATAAGATGAATCAAATTATTACCTTTTTTGAGGGGTTTACTAATTTTGTTTTAATACAGTTGACATTCTATGAATTGTATAATAAGAGAGAATGATTTGTCACAATTTTTTTAAAAATAGTTTGTAATTTGGTGTTCTTTAAATTAAACGAATGAAATTGATGATCAAATTAAGTCATGAACTGAAATAAATAATATGAACCGAATTTTAATTTATTTTGAGAAACGTTTAGATTTCATTTTATTTATTATTTATTTAAAAAAAAATTCAAATAAAGAAAAATTTGTCGATGCAATTTTTCTCATTTAATTATTAACAATTTTAAGGAAATAAAATGCATTCAGCAATAGCTGAAATCGAACTAAAACCATGCCTCATCAATATTTCGTTTAAATTGGGGACTCTAGTCCAGCTTAAAAACTCACACAAATTATGCTGATACAAATACAATATTTAAAAAAAAAGTTTCATTCAAAAAGTTCGATTCCCGACCAATAATAAAAAGATAGGGTAAAAGTATAAATTACAATAAAAATAAACTTGGAAGAAAAAAAACAACTCAATTTTTCATAATGTTTATATCGTTGTTAATTTAGATAATGCTTTAGAAAAAATAATGTTTATTTAAAGAAGTCTTCCTTTATTTGATATGTATATTGATATAGACTGCATTTTATAAAAGATGATATCTATAATACTTAAGAGAAATGATAGTATCTTAGTGAGATGCATCATAATATTTAATTCCTGAAATCAACATATGTTTTGTTAAGAATTAATCAATACAATTGTGCTTTAGTTTTCATTGTTGCATTATTTCATATTCACTTGTAGTCTTAAATTGTTATAATATTTTTAAACGTTTTATTTAAAAAAAAAATAAAAAAAAATTTGAGGGAGGAACATACAGCCTTAATCGACTTTCTATTGATTTGCTCAAAAAGAAAAAATTGAAATGTTTCATTATTACTTATCTTCATTTGTTGAAATTTCTGAATATTATTTCTATTACTATTATAGAAATGCGAATAATTGTTACCTTCCATTGACTAATTGTTTAATGTAATTGAATTGTTTAATTGAGATTAAAATAATGCAGAAAAAAATAACACTACTTTTTTTTTACCCTCGTTCTAACAATGGAGAACTGAAGTGGACAGAATAACCATTAGGTTTGGGATGCTAATTGCTGAGAGGAACCAAATAATCGTTTGTGGTAGCCTTTAATAGCCTGACATTGGTTTGCAAACTCGGATTGGCCTACAAGTGGCGATTTAAAGCGATACTTAACAGAACAGTATTAACACGGATAAAGGAATTCCATTTATGCTTTCATTTTAATAAATTGAATCGGCCATCTTTGTAATCTCTGAGCCCTACAATAACACATCTAATTAAAAAGAAATTGCAAGGATCGTTTGTGTTATCAGTTATAAATGTGTTCTGAGACTGAGGGTGGTATGTATGGTCCTTCCTCTAACTCTACATGAACGTTTCGTCAAAAAAGAATAATTTTATGAAACTCAATGAAAAGGACTCCTTTCAGACAATTCCGTTGCAGAAACGCTATTGTAAATTGAAACATACGTGTTTCCTCCTCTACTTTTTCAATGATCAATCGGTACCATCATTCTAATGTTTATTAGAACAAGAAACATCAATTTTTCGATCAAGAGAACGACTTTGCGTACCATCCCAAAAATCTAAAATGATATTGCTAAAGTCTTAAGGCAGTAGTCAGAAGGAAAAATAAAATAAAATTCCTGGGGGGTAGGAAACAAAAAAAATAAAATAAAGTTCAGAAATCGTAATTGAAGTGTGGTCCATTTGAGAAAGTGTTTTGTGCAACATTGAAACAAAGTTATGTATTTTTGAAGTGAAAACTTCTTTAGACATGTTTCGCACATTTTTTGTGGAGAGTGAATTACATTGAGCCGTCAGATCTCTGATGTGTAACGCTCGGGTAAAAGAGGCTGGAGTCGACTAATTGAAATGTTTTTGCATGTGGATTAAAATATGTCTCTACATGTTGTTAGCGAGGGAAATGTTCATGACGCTTTCCTCTTTGTAAAGAAATAGAGATACGAAAAGGAGAAAAATAGTATCTAAAACCAAATTATAACAAATTTTATAGAAGATATGGATTAAAATATCTCAGAAAGTAAAAAATTGGACCTTCATACTGTGCATAGGGAACTGTTCAGCATTTCGTAGTCTTTATATTGAGCTATTATTTATAATTTAAATTTTATATTATTAATCTCGCCTTGTGTATTTTTTCACTTCTATCGTGTGGTCTAAAGCACACGCTTCAGTTTTCTGTAATTTAAAAGTTGTTTACATTTAATTTAAATGTAACATCTGTTACATTTGGTTTATTTAAAAATAATCACATTCATCACTAAAAGGAAAACGAAAATTTTTATTGCTTTTCGTACGTAAGCACGAC